AAAATGTGATGTATGTAAACATATGTTGAAGTTAAAAGGGTTGTATTTTTGTTTGGTAGGGATTCCTGTAAACCTTATTGAACCGTGAAGATACTAAAGTTTTGTTATAAATGGAATATCTAATATAATTGATATGTAAATTTAGCTCTATATTAAATACAACTCTCAAAGGAAAGTTGTGGTTAAAGGTAATATGAGAAATACATGGTTGAGAAATTTATTTATGTGAACATAATATATTTTGGATGAAGTTTTTATAAGACAAGTATTGTTAAGTAGATGTGTGGATTAATAAGTGAGTAAGGGTTTTTTATGAGTAGAAATAATGATGTTATGTTCTTAAGAATTGATTCACTTAATTACTATGTTATGTGTTTGAAAATTTTTTTATTCTCCTTATTAATTATAATATTATATAGGGTTTCGTTGTATAGTGTGGAACATTTATTTTGTATGAATATCAAGACAAGAAAAGTATAAATTTAAGGATACAAATACAAAAAAAGAAAAAGAAAAAGAGGATTATAAACACATCAAAGTGAATATGTAGCCATGACTCCGAGACAAGATATCGGTAACAAATATACAATTGTGCTGACAAGAAAATATATATATATCAGAATTAAATTCATAAACTTGATATGAAGTTGGTATTATTGTTAATGTTTCATTACTTGATTTTAAGATAGAGTAGTTTGTGTGAGTGTGATACTAACAACAAATTATTACTTTGAAAAATGAATAAGTCAAATGTTTTACTTGAATCTCTCTTGATAATCATGGGATTAGTGTGATATTTTATGTGAGAACATGGTAGTAGAAAAGAGATAGTAAATTTATTTTGTTTAATAGAGGATTCATTATATATATATATATATATATATATTATGAATCCTCTATTAAACAAAATAAATTTACTATCTCTTTTCTACTACCATGTTCTCACATAAAATATCACACTAATCCCATGATTATCAAGAGAGATTCAAGTAAAACATTTGACTTATTCATTTTTCAAAGTAATAATTTGTTGTTAGTATCACACTCACACAAACTACTCTATCTTAAAATCAAGTAATGAAACATTAACAATAATACCAACTTCATATCAAGTTTATGAATTTAATTCTGATATATATATATTTTCTTGTCAGCACAATTGTATATTTGTTACCGATATCTTGTCTCGGAGTCATGGCTACATATTCACTTTGATGTGTTTATAATCCTCTTTTTCTTTTCTTTTTTTGTATTTGTATCCTTAAATTTATACTTTTCTTGTCTTGATATTCATACAAAATAAATGTTCCACACTATACAACGAACCCTATATAATATTATAATTAATAAGGAGAATAAGAAAATTTTCAAACACAAAACATAGTAATTAAGTGAATCAATTCTTAAGAACATAACATCATTATTTCTACTCGTAAAAAACCCTTACTCACTTATTAATCCACACATCTACTTAACAATACTTGTCTTATAAAAACTTCATCCAAAATATATTATGTTCACATAAATAAATTTCTCAACCATGTATTTCTCATATTACCTTTAACCACAACTTTCCTTTGAGAGTTGTATTTAATATAGAGCTAAATTTACATATCAATTATATTAGATATTCCATTTATAACAAAACTTTAGTATCTTCACGGTTCAATAAGGTTTACAGGAATCCCTACCAAACAAAAATACAACCCTTTTAACTTCAACATATGTTTACATACATCACATTTTCCTTTTAATTAACAGTTTGATATCATTCTCCTCTTACCGATTCTCACCTTGGACATCTATACTATAATCATTTCAATACCCAAACACACCCTCATAAACATAACCACACTTCTATTAAAATTCAGTAGGCATAAATGTATCATCTATCTATAGACTTATTTCAAACACCAGTTATTCAAATCCTATCAAAACATCTCATTCCCCTTTCTCATGTAATTTTATCACAGTTATCTCCACTTCCAAATGCATATTTATGTTAAAGCATCGCTAATTTAATTCATCAAACTTTTTGTTACAGCGAAACTCATTCATAGGTTTCCACAATTACATGCATTTACACTGTTGAAGCAATTCCAGAGATAAGTATCACAATTCTAAATTTATTCGTTCCCATCACACATTCTATATAGCATAGTGCATCCATAACATAATATATCCCTACATAATCATGTTTTATAATATCACCACCGCTTTTATTTTTTTCATTTCTTTACTTTAAGAGAAATTGTTGTACCTTATTTCACATACAAACTACCCTACATAGAGACAAATTCACAATCAAGATAACCAAATGTTCATTCATAACTAAAATAATCAATCTTTTGTTGGATATCATGGTACCATACTCCATCTATAACACCACCGAAGAATTCCTTACTACAAAAATTGTATATATATCATAAAATTATATAGATACATATCTACCATTAAGATAACGTCATCTCTCCACTAAGGCAATTACATTAGCCTTCATAGATAGTTTTCATATCTACACATCCATTAACCATTTAATATGGCATTCACATTTACACACCCATAAATCATTAATATGACATCCACATATAAATTCATCCATAAGCCATCATATATGGCTTCCACGTATATACATCTGTCACTAAGGTCATTCTCGCCACTAAAGCTAAACACTTGCCTTTAAGGCAATATCTACCATCAATGCATAATTCGCCAATAAGATAATTCGTCACTAAGGTCATATATTCGTTACTAAGACAACAACTTTAGCCATTAAGGTATATTTCGCCACTAAGGACACACAATCGCCACTCAGGCCAAACAATCACCCTTTAGGATCACACTAGCCAATGGACTATTCACTTACCATTTGAAATAATTAAACAATCATATTATCTCTGACTGTCAATAGGCCACACACTCACTTGTTATTAACGAGCAACATTAGTCATAAAGACTAACTCATTTTCAACGCTATACAACAATTCACATTTCATCTTTAAGTTTATATTCAACTCAAACATGTATTAATACCACGTAAACATATTCTTGTTATTATCAATTACATAGAAAACAACTTACATATAACACCACGTTAACCACAGAAAAATTAATTATGCCACTTAAATAACAACAATCTACAACACCACGCTCCGCTTTACCATAATATCTCACCAACTATAATCTTACACACAAGTGCAAAATCATATATTTAGACAATCAAATGTCAACTCGAATAGACATCACAATATATTATTTTTCTTTTAATTTTCAAAATTATTCCCCTTTTTAAAATCCCCGATAAAATCAACATCAATATCATTACCTCTATACCTATCACATATCATCACAAATTTCATATAAACATNTTAATTTTCAAAATTATTCCCCTTTTTAAAATCCCCGATAAAATCAACATCAATATCGTTACCTCTATACCTATCACATATCATCACAAATTTCATATAAACAGTCTCTATATATGCGTTATGCACTAGATATGCATGTATGAATATTAGATCAACCTATTTCTAATCCCTTTCCAAAGCAATATTACCCATCCACTAAAACATTATTCCATTGTACCCAAATTATATTTTTATTCAAACCATAAACCATATATTTGTGAATAGATCTGGTTTTAAGAAAATGTATTTGAACTGAAATTTAAATACCACAAAAATATTTAGGAAAATAGACGAAAATAAACCAAAAACTCTCCTCAAAATCATCAAACAAAATCCGACAATAAATTACTTCCTTATACTCAATCACAGATATATTCCTTTTGAGTTTAAAAACATAGGAGTTTGTTCATGCTCATAACAATATAATTCAAATAATATTATTATTACTACTTTTTAACTTTTAACATTTTCACAAATAGATTACAACTAATTTGTAATATCACCAAAAAATTCCATTATCAAAAATTGAAATTGTCAAGAATTATTCTGTAATCTATCATTAATTTTTAAGTTTTTTTTTTCCACACTAAGATGTACAATCACAATGTAATAAACTACTGACAAATACAACCACTTAACTTACCACAAACATTCCCGTTCAGGCAGTTACCTATATTTTCATTTGTAATTCAATAAATTGAGTCTACGGCGATTTCTTCCACACCGTAATTTGACTTATTTTCTAAATTATATCATACACATTCTACTAACCACCACCACCTCTTGACGTTGTCTATCACGTTCCTTATCCATAAAATTATAAATCAACAATATTAGATATACATGTATATAACATTAGCATCTTAATGTTTAACTCTACATTACACAGACACCCTAGACTGTCCACTGCTGACTTCAACACACTTGTCTACCAAACCTATAAACCTATGCTCTTATACCAAAATTGTAACACCTCGACCCATTTAGCATTATATATATTCAAAAACGCTAATAACCGTCATAAGTACTGAATTATAAAGTGTCCAAATGATGAGTAAACTTTGATACTAAATCCTTAAACATAACGAGTGTTTGCTATTAAACTCAATAATTCAACTTACTATACACAACTATGATACGACTTAGACATAGTGTAACACCCCAACTCGAGGTACAATATTTGTAATATGTTTGTCATGTGTGTTCGGGTCTTACAATTTTTTCCTACTTAGGAATTTTGTCCCCAAAATTTCAAAATATCAGTAATATGTTTGTCATTTGTGTTCGGGTCTTACAATTTTTTCCTCAGGAATTTCGTCCCCATAATTTCTCTTACAAATCTGAAACAAGTGAAGATATTTATTTGTGCTTTCAACTATTTCAATTTTAAATCTAATGACTAAAATAAGTACTCGCATCTAAACCCCCGACACAAAATAAAATGCCTAATTAATTTGTTCGGGTCTCACACTAACACTTTCCAAATAAATCTTACTGCTCTCACAAAAATTAGCAAAAAAAAAAAAAAATTAAGCACAATGCAGAACCCAAACCTGATCATATTGCTTCAAAAGCNCAAAAAAAAAAAAAATATTAAGCACAATGCAGAACCCAAACCTGATCATATTGTTTCAAAAGTCCAATCTCTTGCTCAGTCTTGTTCTTCATCTTCGCCCTGTACTGACAGAACGACTGAAACTGGTACACAAACTCATCCACCATGTCCCACAACCACTGGTTCGGCAANTATTAAGCACAATGCAGAACCCAAACCTGATCATATTGCTTCAAAAGCCCAATCTCTTGCTCAGTCTTGTTCTTCATCTTCGCCCTGTACTGACAGAACGACTGAAACTGGTACACAAACTCATCCACCATGTCCCACAACCACTGGTTCGGCAACTGCATATTTACCACCCCATGCAACACCACCTAAAACCAACCAAAATCAAATCACACACATAAGCAACCTGAGTGTAAAGTGAAAACGGTGCAAACAACTGGATCTCTCTCTCTCTCTCTCTCTCTCACACACACACACAGAAAACAACCAACAGGTATGGTGAAAACGATGCATACTTGAAAGAGACTGCAGTAATTGTCCCAAGAATCGATCCGCTGCTTGAGAGTAGGCGACAATCGGGCGTAGAGGTGCCGAAACCACATCTCGCGATAGAGCAAGCAGAAGACGTGGTCATTGTCGACGTACTGAGCGACAGCGTCGACGGAGGGCCAAGGAGTGTCCTTGAACATGCGTTCGCTTAGGGTTTGGAATGACGTCTCATACATCTGGTGGATCTCGTACACGTTCTTCTCTCTGATGTGCCGGTAGAGATGAACCACGAAGGTCCTGACGGAGTCCGGCACGAAGTTGGGGTCGTAGCCGACGGCATCTGATTGGGGCTGTTGCGGATATCCCTCTTCGTAGTCCAACAAGCCCGCCATTGTCGATGTTTTCTCTCTCTCACACACACAATCTCTCTCTTGATCGTGCAGAGATTAGGGTTTCAGGTGGTGAAGATTGAAAAGCTTCGAAGAGAGAGAGAAAGAGAGAACGAGGGTTTAGCGATTACGGTCTGAAGCAGCGTGCGGCAACTGTGGATTTGTTTTGGGTTGAGGAGTGAAGAAGGGTGGCTTCATGGGCTACTATAGGGTCCTTTGGGCCGCAAAGGACACTAATTGGGATATTTGGACTGTTGTGGTTTAGTACCAAGTGGACTGNTGAATGACACATGTTAGCTTTTGATTGGTGATAGCGTTAAGATTTGAATTAAAAAAATTTAAATTTTATGAAATTAAGAAACGAAAAGGAAAAGTTTCTCAAACTCTCTTATCTTTAAATTATGTATGTTATATATAGACTAATTATTGTCTATGTCTGAAGGCACAAAGTAATAAAAAATTATAAACAATAAATGTATTTGTATTCATATTCAAAATCGAACCACAAACATAGACGAGAGATAAATAAATTTAAGTATCGATTGTAATGGGGGTGAGAAGTGGTGGGCGACAGTGATAATGGTAAGAGACGATGATTGTTGTGGTGGGAGGCAATAACCGTAGCGACAGTGACGATGGTGGTGGCGGTGGCGGCGACGGTGACGATAGTGGTGCTAGTGGTGGAGGCGACGGTAGTAGTGGTGGTGGTGATGGCGATAGTGGTGGTGATGGTGACGGCAACGGCAACGGTGGCAGCAACAGTAGTGGTGGTGGCAATGGCGATGGTGGTAGTGGTAGTGGTGGTGGCGATGGCGATGGCAATGGTGGTGGTAGAGATAGTGATGAGACGGTATCAAACACTATTTTTTTTAAAAGTACTTATAACAAGTAATTTTAAAAAATTACTCCAAAACACACCGATAGGCGTCTATTTTTTTTATTAAATTTTGGTTGTTAATATTAGCCGTTAGATTAACTTTAAAGTAAAATTTAAAACGATCTAAACTGCAAAAAGTAAAAGTGATTTTGTTTATCTTTTGAAATTTGAATTATAAACTATTTTATTATATAGATAGGTACATACATTATAAAATATCATAAATATCAATCAAATCCTTTATGTATTTTCTTTTAATAGATAAATCAACTACAACCAGTCTGTTCATTATTCCTAAATGCTGGATGCCTTTTATTATTATTCACAAATGCAAGCTGCTTCAGTTACTCCAAGCGACTTTGGACTAAACCAACTCCCCGTCCTCTTCACTTTCTCTAGTATGCTAAGGCATATTATTTCATCAATTTTTACATATTGATTCAAATATGATGAGGAGTTTTGCATTTCTGTGTTACTGTAATTGATAATACTTGAGATGGTTGAGTGTCAAATTGAAGTAAAAACAGACGCTAGAGATTTTGTATTTTGTTTCTTTTCCTTGTACTGATTCGTTTGGTGTTGTGTATTTCAGATTGTTCGGAGGACCCGGAGGTGGAAAGTCTGAGTTAAAATTGAAAGTTGTAGTTCAATTCTTCAGACCAGACCTTTTTGCTTCAGCACTAAGGCTTTTTTATTTTGAGCTCTTTTTTCTTATAGTTAAGAGAATATAAAAATGCCAGAGAAAGAGCTCCTCAATTATGTATTTCTCAATGAAGTCAGGGTCTCCTTTTATATGTCCTCAATCATAATGACCATCAAATACAATATTAAAGTCGGTATATCAATTGCTAAGGGTTATACACCAATGCACTAATACCCACTAGTTCTAATTTACTGGTGTTGTAATTGGTAGGTTAGGAGTCATCCACTATTCCACTTTAATTTAAAATATATCTATCTAAACTACTAATAAAAGGCAACTAATAAGAAATTTTTTTGATTTTCTATTATACCACTAATCTATTATATAAAGATAATCACATTCTCTGTTTTAACTCTTAGATCAGTCTATTTTAAGAGTAAATATTCAATTACAAATGTAATAAATATATGATTACAGTAGGAAGACCTTTCATATTCTCAACGGTAAAGACAATTGCCAAAAAGAGATAAAGCATAGCCATGCACACTTCCAAGTTCCAAATCCTCAATTCCCAAGTAGTAGAGAAAATATCCTCTAATCTCTTTTTAAATAGCAGAGTTCTTTCTTGACCTTGTGTATCATTGATTTCTTTCTTTAGCTGGTATTTTTCTTTGCAAGTTATTGAGTTAATCTTTTGTATTGGCTGTTTAGTGAGCACAAAAGCAACATAACATCTGCGATTGCCTCTTCTTCAAGTCATGTGATTCTTTATTTGGATTAGTCCATAGCTTAAGTGAATGTTGTCTTACTAAAACAACTTCTTCTTTTTTTTATTACTGATGATGCACAAATTGGATTTATGTACCACCAATTAAGTGATCAGTAATTAATGTAGTAATAAAGTAGAAAGAGAAAATAATTTTAGCAAGATAAGGATATAGAGTGGCTCGGTCATTGTGACCTACGTCTACTTTGAAGGGCTTGAATGACCTGGGTATTTTATTACTTCGACGAGTGTAGGGACAGTAGGGAGATACAAATTATGAGAGAGAGAGAGAGAGAGGAAAGTGATAGTAGATGTGCTCGATTGAGTGTGATGCCCCCAAGTATTGACAGAACTTACAATTTATAGGCGCCTCTTAATAGATGGAGACGACTTTATCAGTAACAAAACAGTTAATTTGGTGGAGCTGATGCTATCTTTTAAACGGACGAGACAACTATGGAGCTCTCCTTGAGATCAGATCCAAGAATGATGTGGTGGTTGACTTTTTTCAAGACAACATGAATGAAGCTCTTAGGATGATTCTGCTTACTCCCTTGGTTGTGTGGCTCCTCGAACCCTGATAAGCTTGACAAGGCATGAACTTTTTTTTGGACTGGACTCATTGGATCTTGTCTAGTTGGATTCTTTATTCAAACTAGACTTATAACATGAGTTGAGCTCTTGGGTCTGGCCCATCAATTACGAATGTTGAAACTCTATTGAAATGTGTTATGTCTTGTTCACTATTTATTTCATTTTTTAAAAATCTTAATCTTCTTTTTGGTTTTTATTTTACGAATTTGATTTGCGACGGTCTTGGTGCCTAAAGTTGGGTTGCAATTTCTATAGTAACTATATGCAACATTTGCTTTTTAATTAATGTTCTATTCACTTCTCCTAAGCTTCTATATTTCTTGGTCTTCAATTGTAAAAAGATTGTGTTTAGGTGTACAAAAATTTTAATGTACCATCATAATTTTTTCCAATGCAAAGGCAATGTGGAAATGGCAAGAAATTCTACATCCTTGATGGAAATTTTGGTCATGTGTTGCTAGGCAGCCGTAGTAGAAGAGAATATCTTAAATATAAATAACTTGAACAACCAATAAATATTCAAACCAAGCACCTGATGTGTTCTCTTTGTTATTCTTTGTTTACTTTCTAACTTCATACTTTTGTATTGGATTTTGAGTATGATGTGAGATTTTTAGTTAAAAATTCCATGGATGTGGTTTAATTTATGCCCTTTATTACTATTATTTTTGATTTAACCATTCATACAATGTTCCTCACGTATCTACTACTTTGAAGTTTATGATATATTGTTGTAGCTATTTGTAGTTGGGTTTTTTTGAGATTTTTTTTTTTTTTATAGAAGACAACAATTTTAAGATATTTTGATTGTGCACTTACTGATATAGTAAACTATAAGGTGTAAGGTTTAATTAATTCATTATTTTTTTAAAACAAATATACAAATTTATTAAGTGGTATAAAATTTGAAAGTGTTATTTGTCAACTACAAATTATCTTCTACAAGTATTTAAACCTGTCTGAAATTTTTTACTATACTCTAGTTGATGCACACGTGCGTTGCACATGAATCAATTCGTTGAAATATTTGAATATACACATATGACTCGAGATTTATGAATTATATGGTTTTCTTGTTCAGTTTGGATCTACTGATTATTATATTAATTTTAAGTAACTAACAACATGGACTTGAATGGTTGTCCTATTTTATGATTTGTATCACTCTTTCATTTTAGAACCCGTCACATGAAACTAATTATTTTTAAATTAATTTAATTTGTGATACAATAGTAATGGTGAATATTGTTGATTGATAAACATTGATTAACCTTTAAGCCGTAGAACAACCATGTCATGCAATATGTACATAAATTAAAATAATGATTATAATAATTTGTCTCCAAATATGTAGGAGGAGTGCCTAAACTTCTCAGTAACAAAGCAACTTTTAAAGTTTTGTTAGAAAAACCTTTAAGAATTTAATCTTGAAGAACTATGAGCAAGCTAAAGCAACTTATCAAAGTTGTTGACCACACGCTTGTGAAACTCTAACTGAATATAGCAATAGGCTCAATTACAGTACAAATTCGTGACAATTTCAAAGCTACGAATCAATGAGTCCTCAACTAAATCAATTAGAATTAAACATCACAAATTTAGTGCTGAAATGGAAAGGAATTAGATGGGATATGCAAACTTGTGTAGGCATCCGATGCCTTGGATGAGGCATGACCGAGGAAGGAGAGAATCCAAATTGTCGAAAGTAGTGGAACAGTCTTTATGATAATAATGGAGGATAAAATTTATTTTATGATAAAATTATATTGTTGCACGATTTGAATGCAACCATATGTTGAAGTATAAAGTTTACTTTATGATAATAATGGAGGATTAAATAGAAATGTAATTCTTAGAATAAAGATAAAATCAACTTTATAACATTATTAAATGGTAAAATAGAAAATAAAAACTTTTGACATTCACCTAAACATAATCTTTAGGCGGTAAGTACAAATATAAATTTTAAAAATAACGATGAACCATATTCCAAATGTTCAATTGTGAAACAATTTACCTCGAAATCCATCTCATATTTTAACTCCATCGCTGCAAAAATTAAATGAATCGATAAGGATTGGTTAGACTGTCACCGTTGCTTTAAGCAAATTTCAGAAAGAAGT